TGTGTGAACAAGAACTCTGGATATAGAAAACTGTTCTTCAGGTGCAGCAAGTAAAGATGAAGAGTCAATGTACCTCCCTGCCTGTGTGAGGGATAAAAACACAGCTTTAGAGTTTACATTTTTCAGAATGTCTGCTGCTGCTGCAATAGATTTGTAGCTCCCTCACCCAAACATATCCACACAAACAGTGAATGGACAGCACCAGTGCCATGATATTGCTGATCTGCCTTTCCAGTCTCCTGTGCATTTTCCTTCTGCAAATTCTCCTTCTTTGTGGGCAACAAAGACATACTCTTCCTGACTCCCAACTCCCGAAGTCAGAAACATAAATGTGAAGTTTCATCTTTCCTCTTTCTGGCACAAGCAGTAAGTTCTTGGGAATCACTTGAGGGGATGTAACTCCTTTACACCCCTGGCAGTGTGGACCCTTGGGGATTGAGGGCAGACTCCAGGGTTGTTTCTAAGAGTGGATGGTTTTGCAGTTTATAACTACACCAAGTGCCAATCTCAAGTTTTCTCCTAATATATCATTAAGCATACTATTTAGCATGGATGGGTTATATCCAGTGGCATCATTTGGCCACCCCAAAGCTGTTACTACTTGAAGAAACCTGTTTACGTCCTTGTGCAAGTGACAGATGCAGTACTTTGGTTCTGTTTGCATGAGCAGTTTCATGACATGTTAGACAACTTATTATGATATAATTAGACTGGGTGATGTTGCTTATACTAGTTATTCTGATAAGGGTTATACAATCACTAGGAGAACACTGCCATCTCTTGTACTTTCCCCCCACTTGATTAACATTGGATACAACTTACTATTATTACTCTTATGAATTAAATCACTGTGATATTACCATGCTCAAGGATTGAACAATGGCAAATAGGAGAAAAGAACCACTGCAGTCAGTCACTTTATTTCCAAACCTCTGCATGGCTCATGTGCACCCCTTCACTGATGGCACCCACATCTGCTTCTAACAGTACTAGAGCACAAAAAGTGAAGAGACCGATTCAAGGATTTGGAGGTCATGAATTGAAACCTTGGTTCCACCCTAAGAACATATTTCTTAAGCACCTGAAAAATACTGGAAATCTGTACAGTGTAAAATAGAAATAGTAGTAATGTAGGTTTACAGTCAAAATAAGAGGACACAAGAGGAAAGGAGGGCAGTGGATAACGAAAAACAATAAAGGAAAAGTACCCTCCCCGGGAATACTTATGAATACACAGTGGAAGTGAAGAACAGATTTAGGGAACTAGATTTGGTGGACTGAGTGCCTGAAGAATTATAGATGGAAGCTCATAACATTGTACAGGAGGCAGCAACAAAAACCATCGCAAAGAAAAGGGAATGCAAGAAAGCAAAGTGGCTGTCCAACGAGGCCTTACAAATAGAGAAGAGAAGGGAATCAAAATGCAAGGGAGATAGGGAAAGTTACAGAAAATTGAATGCAGACTTCTGAAGAATAGCAAGGAGAGACAAGAGGGTCTTCTTAAATGAACAGTGCAAAGATATAGAGGGAAAGAATAGAAAGGGAAAAACCAGAGATCTGTTCAAGAAAATTGGAGCTATTAAAGGAACGTTTTGTGCAAAGATGGACATGATAAAGGACAAAAATGGGAGGGACCTAACAGATGCAGAAGACATCAAGAAGAGGTGGCAAGAATACACAGAGGAATTATACCAGAAAGAGCTGGATGTCCCAGACAACCCAGATAGTGTGGTTGATGACCTGGAGTTGAACTATTTAAAATTTTGATGAGGATGTTAAGGTGCTACACTCAATATGGCAGCAATTTTGGAAAACTCAATAGTGGCCAGAGGATTGGAAAAGATAGGTCTACATCCCAGTCCCAAAGAAGAGCAATGCCAAAGAATGCTCCAACTACCGTACAATTGCACTCATTACACACGCTAGCAAGGTTATGCTCAAAATCCTAAAAGGTAGGCTTCACCAGTATGTGGACCAAGAACTCCTAGAAATCCAAGCTGGATTTCGGGCAGAGGAACTCGAGACCAAATTGCTAACCTGCCCTGGATTATGGAGAAAGCCAGAGAATTCCAGAAAAACATCTACTTCTGCTTCATTGACTATGCAAAAGCCTCTGACTG